TGAGTTGGGGGGGGGGGGGAGGGGTTCGAACCGGTAGTGACCCCCCCCGGTTTTCCGGAGGGGGGGGGGGGGAGGGGTTCGAACCGGTAGTGACCCCCCCCGGTTTTCCGCCAGCAGCGGTAGAACACGCTCTTTCATATATATATATATATATACATATATATATATATACATGAGTGTGTACATATGAATGTGCATAGCGTCGTAAACAGGTGTAAGACTATGCGTGCACACACATATTCGCCACCGTGCCTCTGGGCACGGGGACGGCGTGTCTTCGGCTCCTCTGCCTCGCGCCTGGAGCCTGCCCTCAGTCCAAAGGAGTCTTGAAGGGGCCTGGATCCCCCATGTCCGAATGCCCTGGGGATTTCACGCACGTCCCCCGAATTTTGGGAAGCGGGTGCGTGTGAACTGGTTCGGGCCCAAGAGTGCCCTAAGACATGCCAAGAGGGCCGATAGGGGCCCCCAAGACGGTCCAAGAGGGTTCCTTCCGAGTCGTCGAGTGGTCGCTCCAAGGCGCTAGAGATGGCCCTCAGACGGCCCACGAGGTCTCCAGGACGCCCCGACAACACTCCAAGAGGCTCCCAAGAGGGCCCCAAGAGAGCAACGTGATTGATGCCACATTGGTTTTTGAAAATGTTTGATACTCTCGCTTCCCAGGGGCCCTCCGGGGCCCCGACACGGCCCGAGAGGGCCCCACAACGGCCCACGGGGCGCCCAAGACGGCCCCAAAGCCGAGAAAGTGCATCAAGGTTGGGGCTCGCCATGGGAGACGATGTGGGGATAAATGAAAATGTTTCCCCTCTACTCAAATAGCAGTGGCGCTGGCTGGTCATATCCTGCCGTCGGCACCTGAACATAAACGATCGCGGATGCGCTCGTTCCTGTTGCGCCCATATTCGGCAAGGGTGAACAACGAAGCGCATCGCGCCAATTTTGCTCAAGAGTAACACCAAGCAGGTGTACGAAACGTATCAGTTCACCCACCCATCGCCTTAAGGGGCGAGCGAATGTGATACCTCGCCAAAAGCAGCCGTTAGTAGGCAAACATGCGCTCCGCCTACAACTTACTGTGTACGTTACGAGGCCAGGCAAACAATTGTTCACCGTTCTGGTGGAATCCACTAGTGGCGTACATAGGACAGGCGACCAATGATCGGCAAACAATCTCAGGCAGGCAAAATGCGTATGGTAAGCGACGCAATGTACGAATGCTTAAGAGCCTGTAGCCAGGTCCTTGACGCAAGCCAGTACAACTTGTTACCAGGCAGCACAGGGTGCAGATATCCCGCCGCCAAGAGTAAAGTGCCCGCTGCCGAACGCCTGATGCCAAGCGGCACATAACGTAATCCGCGACCCCGCGCGGGGCCAGGATCAGTACTGCGAGCGTTCCGTACTGCAACTGAAGTGTGACACCGACTCATTTACGTCATGTTTGCATGAATGATGGCCGGGCGTCACTTGCAAGAGCACCTAACGGTCAACACTAACTTCCGTTTGCGCGCACAGCTGGACACAATGTACTGCCATTTCAAGCACACCACTGGACACAATGTACCATGCTTATCCCTTACCATCTGTCGTTATGCAACTGATGCCCATGTAAGGTCATTCAGTTGGTTTATCCGGATCTTTCATACATAATCATGAGAACATTGAGTCGGCATCGGTGGTAATAGCTACCTTGATACAACAGCCACATGTGTTTCTAGTACGTGTGTCAATTCCCCTGGTGAAAAGTAAACACGCGCACACACATTCACAAGCTCACGCATACATATACATAGATGCATACAGATACTCAAGTTTACGCAAACTTGTATCATACGTATATATCATAAAATGAAAAACGGCGTCGCGGACACGCGCGCGGCGACGCGCCGCAGGGCAAGTCAAGCGAGAAGAGCGTGGACATGGCCAGCTCACGCAGCGTAGAGAAGCTGGATTCGCACACAGGGGATCGAAAGGAACTCTCGCGATGGGGGCACTCGCGAGGGGAGCGCGGGCAGATATGCAACGGGGAAGGGTGGGGAAACAGGGCGGACAAGGAGAAAGCAGTGGCGCTCCGCGCGGAATTTTTTGATCCGCGCCGGGCACCCTTCCCTAGGGCGCGGAGAACGCCAGGGGCGGCGCTGGAGGCGCCGCCGGGGGGGCCCAGCGCGGATCCAGGAAATCCCCGCGGAGCGCCAAAAGTTTATGTTATGGCGCTTTTTCTTCTTCGAGCAGAGTGGCCAGTCCACTGCCAGAGAAAGGCCCTCAGGGGAACACCGCATGGACAGCGCGGGCAGCTGCCTTGTGAGGGGCACACACAAACAAGCCAAGCTCCCTCCCGAAGCTCCCTGGGCGGCTCGGCGCCACTTCTTGGAACGGCTTCCGCGACGGCCCGGCAAGGCGAACAGGGCTGCCAAAATGGCAGAGCATTGCTTCAGTAGGCACTTAACAGCCTACAGTGGAGGCCAGTCTACAAGAAACCTTCCACAAGAACACACAACCCTGAGACCCGATGACGTCCATGGTTTTTTGGTGTGGGGACGTCACGATTTCCATCGCAAAACCATCCATCGAAATCCAAGGAACCCAGGGCACCCTGGAGGCAAGCAGGGTGTTTTTTGGCATGGGTTTCCAGTGTACGCGAGCATCAGACGATGCGCTAATGGGGCCTGAAAAGGCTTCCAACACACCACAGAGAGGATCACCCCTGGAAGTCCATAATCACTCAGTAAGGTAACCTCTTATAGAGTTCCCATGTAGTTGCATGTCCTGGGCATCTCAACTCAATGTGATTCCAAGACGGCCTCGGACAGCAACGGGGGAACCCTGACAGAGGCCAAAAGAGCCCGGCCCCAAGGCTTCCCAGAAAGCCCAGACAAGTCGAACAAAAATTACCAATACGGCCGAGCAAGGTCCCAAGACGGCCCGGGACAGCCCCACAACATCTCAAGAGGAGAGTCCAAGAGAGCCCCACAGGAGCCCAAGACAGCCCCACAACGGCCTAGACAACCCTCACGAAAGCACCTCAAGGACTAAAAACGACAGGCGTCAGATGCTACGCCCTTCTGGGCGGAGCCGAGCTCTCTCACGCCGTCCTTGGGCGAGTGTCTCGGTGTTCCGCGGCTTGGATTCTCGTCGTGCTGCATAACGCTGACGCCGTCACCGCGCGACCCGTCACGGGACCCACCCCGCCACCCACCCCCCGCGAACGCCCCTGAAGGCCGTCCGTGCGACCCGCTCCCGCGACCCAGCCGCAGTCCGCGACCCCGCCCGCGAACGTGCCCTGCCCCAGCAGACGGCCTGGACGGCCCTCCCCACTCGCCTGCTAGTGGGTGTCCTTCTTGGGGTCCGAGTCAGCGAGAAAGGACGCGTAAAAAGAACTGAGATTCTAAGAAGAAAAATACCGGCCGGGGCCAAACATGCCAAAACTGATGGCTTGTGATGAACATGCGACCCCGAACAAGGAACTTCAGCGGAATTGAACTTACCTCTTCGTGACCCCCAAAATTGAGCAGGGACAGACCTTCCAGGCATTCCTGCAGGCCTACCACGACAGGCCCTTGGAACCCAGACTTGTCCGAGTGGAAAAAACTTAGAAGGTAACCCCGACGCGTTGACACAAGACAGCCCCAGCCAAAAACGTTCTAAGGACATTCCGTGCATACCACAGGAAGCTCTTAGAACATCCCTTGGTGGGCCTATAGGCAAGCCCGGACGCCTCGCCACTGCTTGACAAAAGGGTAACCCCCAGTAGCAGGCGACGGCCCTCCACGCGCAGGTCAGAC